TCTCTGAAGGAAATCAGGTTTGGTTTAGCTAGTGTTTAATATCTTCTCTGAAGGAAGTCAGGTTTGGTTTAGCTAGTGTTTAATATCTTCTCTGAAGGAAGTCAGGTTTGGTTTAGCTAGTGTTTAATATCTTCTCTGGAGGATGTCAGGTTTGGTTTAGCTAGTGTTTAATATCTTCTCTGAAGGACGTCAGGTTTGGTTTGCAGATTACATAATATACACAGATTAGACATATGTTAAAGTATATTTGTGAAAGTTTTATAAACACAGTTGAAACATCTTATTTTGTATATATTCCCGATGTACATATCAGTTTTTCGTATTTTGTGTCTGTGTTTAATATTAAAATCTTTAATAAACAAACCCGGAGATGCGTAAGAAATGTTCCTATCACATAAAACTGCCGATAATCTTTCATTAAATGTCTTCATGATAATTCAGCACCTAACATGAAAATTATGTTATCAAAACAATTGGAGTTTCTCTGCTTGTGATCCTCCAGTGGGTCAGCTGTAAGTTTACGGACTTACAATCCGGAGTTCGATTCCCCTGCCGTGCCCATTGTGTAGCTATGCACTACAGACAAACTCTACTTGTGTACAATTAAAAGGTGTACAACGCTAAAATAATTACGCGATAATTAATTTATTTAAAACATAGACCACGAAACATGTGCCTAGAGACAGAGGACATGATCCCGAAATTATTGACAGATCTCACAAGATATCATCACGTAGAAAGTTAAAGGGTAAAGTTGATAACATGAGGGTTCGTTTGAAGGTTTATCAACAAGAATAGGCAACATAATTAAATATATATTCTCACCGCGTTGTAAACTAATTAATTTTCTCACGGGTGTAAAAGAAGAGAGGAAATTCATAAATGTGGGATATACAAAATTCCTTGTGTCTGTGGTCGAGTTTACATCGGCCAAATATGAAGAAATTTGGGATCAAGGAACATAAAAGTGTGGTAGATGAACATAAAGTAAACGAGTCAGCTTTAGCAGAACACGTATTATGTTATAGACTGGAATAACGTTAAACTGATAAAAATGTGAGTTGAAATGGGAGTTAAATATCAGAGAAAAATAGATATTGAAAAACAAACAAAGATATTGTAGTGAACAGAGAAGTTGGTCCAGGTTTACAAGAGATAAACTAGTTGATATATGTTTTATAAACTCTGCTTTTTTTAAGTCCAGGTGGCGCTAAATGAATGCAAATGGTTATGTAGTATATTAGTCTTGACTAAACTTCAATTCTTACTCCTGAAGATTGTGACGTAAGAACACCACCGAAGCATGTAGAATCAAGAAGAGATAAACTAGTGGATATATGTTTTATAAACTCTGCTTTTTTTAAGTCCAGATGGCGCTAAAGGAATGCAAATGGTTATGTAGTATATTAGTCTTGACTAAACTTCAATTCTTACTCTTGAAGATTGTGACGTAAGAACACCACCGAAGCATGTAGAATCAAGAAGAGATAAACTAGTGGATATATGTTTTATAAACTCTGCTTTTTTTAAGTCCAGATGGCGCTAAATGAATGCAAATGGTTATGTAGTATATTAGTCGTGACTAAACTTCAATTCTTACTCCTGAAGATTGTGACGTAAGAACACCACCGAAGCATGTAGAATCACTTTAGGGCCGGTCCATGCTTTTAATAAATTATTTTAGCGTTGTACTCCTTTTAATTGTCTATATATATTCTACTTATATTCTTAAGGTCACTGAATGAGCGTGTTGTATCTTGTTTTATGGTTTCCTCAGTAAAAAAGTCCATCGTGTCACGTTATTAACTAGTGTCAGAACTGGAGGAAGGATCATCATGTTGTGGAATTCTACGAAACATTTACTTTTTTTTTTTTTGCTGGAATATGAAGACCTGAATACTTCAAAGTATTCAAATCAAGTGATAATGTTGTTAAGTCGAAAACTGCGTTATTTATAAGATTGACACGTCGAGTGAACTCGGTACAATATTTCTATATGCTTGTTATAAATGAGTGTGTAATACAAGGATATAAAACCCCATTACAGCTTACAACACAAACTGGCATCGGGTTAAAAGTTATATTCTGTTTCTATTTTGTCAGTCTGAAGAATAATCTAATCAATTTCCTCGTCCAAAGAAATCCAAAGTTAACACATTCGACTGATAGTCCATGAGCTTACATTCAGTATGGTGGACCATGTTGTCCATCGAATCATGTAGAAAGTTTTTTTTTATATATTTTAACCTTATACAAATAAATTAACTTGCACGTGTAAACTTTAGTGTCGTTCTTTTATTTTATTGAAATTCAAAACACCCACGTTTTGAAATACGTTGATATGTTAATAGTTTTCGGTGTAGTTTTATATATATAGTATGGGGTGAAGTTTTCAGATATTTTTAAACAGTTTTGGAACTTTTTGGCTAACGTTACAACAAGTAAAGAATGAGCAGCGATTTATAATAATAGAATAAGTCATTCGAACGGTTTTAACATTTCTTTAATGAAGTTGAGAAACATGTTTGGATATAAGATGAATGAAAATGATTATTAAGTTCAATAAAATGATCTATATCTCTAGAATATATCAAATATATCTTTATTAGTTCAACATGTCGCTACAAGTATTAGGAAAAAAAAATCGCTAAATAATAAAACTACGTAGGGCTGGCTACTAAACCTGAAAAAAAGAAACCAAACAAGATGGTGATGGAAGTGGACATATCACTTGATCGGCTAATGATCAAACAGCAGACTAAGCTGTCTCGACTTTACACGGAGAATAAAATCGCTACATACTGGCTTCCCCACTTTGTCTCTAGACAGCTTGGTGTTTGAATAGAATCTCAGCTTTCATCATTATAACTTTCCGTTAGATAACCTTAGAAAACTAATTTTATAACTTATTTTACGACAGAGTAATATTTTACGATTGGAAATTCTGGTTCTATTTGTTTCGCCAGTGAGGAAGCCAGTAATGTGGAGATTTTATTCTCCATTTAAAGTCGAGGCAGCTTAGTCTGCTATGTGTTCAGCGGTAAGATCGAATGATATGTCCACTTTCATACTTATCTTGTTTGATTCCTTTTTCCAAGTTCAGTAGCCAGCCCTACGTGGCTTTGTTATTTAGCGATAATATTTTTTTACTAATACTTGTTTGTATATTTTTTATAAGATGGCGTACGTTAGTTACTACGCTATAGAGTGTATTTAACAGATTTATAAATTTTACACAGAATAATAATAAAACAGGTAGTTAAAGATCGTGAAAACTGTTTTGCTCTACCAAATGATGATAAAATTATAGTTACTGTTAGAACTAGACAGGCGCTAGGCCTGTTGAAGAAAGATGATGATGAACTAAAATAGGAAATCTCTGTTTTGGCTATTCGTCGGTTTTCTAGTTTGGGACGCTCTGGATAGCTGAAAAGCGGCATAGACACTATGTCAGGTAGCTCTTCATATCTAGCTTCTGATGACCTGTAGATAAGAGAATCCAGATGATTTTGGATTGTTTTAATACGGGCGTCCTACAGGGAGACTTCTAGCGCCCTCTCCGATTGCAGCTTCAACAGGAGCTATCGATATCATAGAAGTTCAACTAACTCAATTAGACGGTGATGACGAGAGTGTTCCAACCTAGATTGAAGTGGATTATTGAACTTGTAGGATATCAATAGCTCCAGACGAAGCCGTAAGAGCAAAACAATGATCTATCAAGATACATTCTGGAGATATAGGTCGTGGTTTTATTTACCTTCATACAAATGTAATAAACTCCAGTTAACAAAAACCATTATTATTTTGCGATTTTAATAAAACTATATAATATAAAACTAAGAAACGTCTCGATTGTTGGATAAAATATACAACGAAAGAACGCCACCACAGTAGTGACAAAAAATTATTTTATTATCAAAAACCGTTGTAAGCATCTCCATAGAGAATTCCAATTGGTAGGTCTTTGGAACTGTACGTAACGTATTTGTACAGTGGCTAAAAACTGGTAGATTTCAAGTTCTTTTGTTCGTTTCACAGCAACTTTGCAGGCGATACTGAAAGAATATCACAAAAGAATGTCTGAACTAGAAGATGCGAAGTACGACTTGGAGTACGAAGTACGCCAAAAGGACTACCTGGTATGACCAATTGTATGGCTGTAGTTCAAGGGACTACACGATTATGCAGTGTTGCTAACAAAATCAGTGTTATGCTGAAGAGCGTGCGCACGTGAACTTACGAAACCAGTCGTGTGCTGGTTTCAAACATAACTCTGGCTTCGATTATTTGATTTACGTTTGTTTTTCTGTTTTATTAGCGAATTCGGGGCTTTGTTCTGATTTATTTTAATTTGTATTATTATTTTGTAGCGCTTGTTTTGTTACAAGAATTATGTATGTCCCGAAAAGCTTATCATGATTTTCAACATAAGTACTTCACGTGAATGGATTTGAGGACTCTCATTACCTGAATTCTTATTTTGTTTTGAAAGTGAATCTCAATTTTCATGTTAGTTCAAAAATGACACTTTCTACGGAAATTGGTTTAAAGTAAAATGAAACAACAGACGTAGCTATAATATGATTTAAAGTAAAATGAAACAACAGACGTAGCTATAATATGATTTAAAGTAAAATGAAACAACAGACGTAGCTATAATATGGACACAAAATCAGTCAGTTTCTTTGGTTATGCGAATCTTGATTAATAGAAATATCAGCTTAAAAAATCTCAAAATTATGATAAGCCTTTTCGGAGAACATTCTAGGTGGCAGTACAAACGTTTGTCTAAGAACTGGCTATACCAATCCAGTCATAAATGTGGTCTTGCTTTTATTTAATTCTCTGCGTAATGTAGCTAACAGATGTGCTAAATCTGTGTTTCAGACATGAAAAGGAATTCAGTATAACGAAGGCCCTTGGTGTTACAATTATTTTTGTCTATATCACTGTTGTTAATTTTATATCAGCATGATTTTCTTTCTATCTTTGTGACGTGTGAGAAGGTTATCATGCTTCAATTGCCTGTGCTTTTTTTTTTTGTTTATTCGTTTTCTTTCACTCTTTATCTGTTTACGTTTCGTTATAACTTTCTGATGACGAATCTCTACTACTAATAGTGTGGGTTAAAGATTATATGCTACTGCCTAACCCATACAGCAACGCTTCAAGCTAATTATATGTTACTGCCTAACCCATACAGCAACGCTTCAAGCTATCTGTAAAGAGTATTACGAACGTCTTAAACAGCTGGAAAATGGCAAGTACGACTTGGAGTACAACGTGAGACAAAAAGATTTTGAGGTCAGTTATCTCTTCACGAGCAGGACAAATTCAAAACAAGGGAAGTATTTACTTCTCATTAAGTTAGGGTTAACATAGATTTAAAAAAAAACACACGAGAGACTCAGTTTGCAATGTTTTAAATTTAGCAAATTAATATCACTAGAAATATATTTATAGAATAATCTGAGGTTTTAGTGTTAATTTCCATACGCTTTAAGTTAATGTGTACGATGTTTTATTGAAATTTTGTTAGAAGCAATGATGATGTAGTGTGGATTATCATTACTTTAATATTGTTTGATTTAAAATTTTTCATAGATCAGAGACGCTATTAAAATTAAGTACAACTAATTAACTAAGACTAATTAGAGTGTTTACTTTATCATACAGCTAAAGACTTTAGTTTACACTTACGTAATCTGTATTCTGAACAACCCTTCTAATATTTACCTCGTTTTCTGAACACACACACACACACACACACACACACACACACACACACACAC